TTTTTGTATTCCTATAGAATTCATTATTAACTTAAGTTAACCCTAATATCAACCTTAATTAGCTACTTCCTCCCCTTTGTAAGTGTTTCTGTTGATTTCTTTGCTTTGTTAATTTTTTAGTATTGAATGGCAAGAAAATACAAAGAAAGATTTTTTTAAATGTTTTTAAAAACTAGTTAAACCAGGAAAAATACATTTTTAAAAATGTATTTTTGTTTAAAGATTCCATGCAAAAAATATTACCCCCCCCCCCCCCAAAAAAAAAAAAAAGAAAAGGAAAGAAAAGTAGAAAAGAAAAGAAAAGAAAAGAAAAAAAAAAGAAAAGAGAAAGGAAAAAAGAAAAGAAAAGAGAAAAGAAAAGAAAGAAGAAAAGAAAAAGAAAAGAAAGAAAAAAGAAAAGAAAAAAAGAGAAAAGAAAAGAGAAAAGAGAAAAGAAAAAGAGAAAAGAGAAAAGAAAAAAAAGAGAAAAAAAGGAAAGGAAAGAGAAAAAAGAAAAGGAAAGGAAAGAAAATTAACTTGTGCTTTAAATTAGAACGAGAACTGAAGTGGTAAACTATCAGTAGAGTAGTAATGCCCAATGACACAAGAGCTCACTCATATCAATGCAACGGTACATCTGTGAGCTAGATTACACTGGTAAGGACAGATCGGTCCTTGTGTAGTATTATAGGTGCAGTATATACACTGAAGTCTGAGATGATTCTAGTTTGATGAAAACTCCACATCCAACCCACTGTCATGGTACCAAATATTTCACCATATGGGAAGTAAAGTCTATTAAGGTATGGTAAGAATTAAGGTGGACCTTTATCAACATCATCATAAAAATAAGTTATAGGTACGCTGGGGGAAAAGAAAAGAAAAGGAGAAAAGAAAAGAGAAAAGAAAAGAAAAAAGAAAAGAAAAAGAAAAAAAAAAAGAAAAGAGAAAAGAAAAGAAAAAAAAAAAGAAAAGAAAAGAAAAAAAGAAAAGAACAGAGAAAAAAGGAAAGGAAAGAGAAAAAAGGAAAGGAAAGAAAGGAAGGAATAAAAGAAAATTAACTTGTGCTTTAAATTATAATCATTATAGTTCTGCTTTATGTCCTCCTCCCCTACCACATTCGGCATATAATTTTTGGGGAGGCACCTAGTTTTGAATGCCTAGACAATCCGAGCGAAAGTTGCCCCCATTATACTCCCCCATTTGTCAGCAACTTTCTGGGACACATCAAAGGTTCCAAAATGCTGCGGGACCATTCACAAAGCTCAGCGCAACTCATGCATGCACAGTGGGAAGATGGCTGTGAAACCGCAAGCTGGCATAGCCGCCTTCCCACACTGAGACTCTATGCAAACTGGTGTAAAAATTGTTGCTTCTAAAGGAATTTTGTGTTTTGCTGGTAGAAGCAGCTCAGTGTTATCCTATGTGTCCACGCACATTAGGACGATTAGTGGAATATTTTAAGCGCAACATTTAGAGGCAAGAAAAAAACCCTTGTGGTTTGTGTTTTTGATTGAAGCTTTTTGACAGAAAAATGCTAAACTTTCCTGCACTTGGCTAAACTGTGTACAAAAATGCTCTATATCAGAGTTTTTTTCTGCCAAGGGAACTGGCATTTTTTTTTTTAAGCTCAGTGTGCATGGAGCCTCAAGATGCAGTCACCAGGGACCTGAAGACCGGTGAAGAACTGGCCCAGTTAAGGACAGAGTTGGATCCTTGGACAGATAAGTGCCCTTTTGTTAAAAGCCAGCCGCTACAGGATTTGTAGCAGCTTTTTTTTTCTAGGGTGAAGAACCGCTTTAAGGAATGACAAAATTATTGGCAAACAGGCCCACAGTGAAAATGCAAAAAGGTCTCTGGTCTCAAGATAATACAGGTACGAGAACTGAAGTGGTAAACTATCAGTAGAGTAGTAATGCCCAATGACACAAGAGCTCACTCATATCAATGTAACGGTACATCTGTGAGCTAGATTACACTGGTAAGGACAGATCGGTCCTTGTGTAGTATCCTAGGTGCAGTATATACACTGAAGTCTGAGATGGTTCTAGTTTGAGGAAAACTTCACATCCAACCCACTGTCATGGTACCAAATATTTCACCATATGGGAAGTAAAGTCTATTAAGGTATGGTAAGAATTAAGGTGGACCTTTATCAACATCATCATAAAAATAAGTTATAGGTACGCTGGGGGAAAAAAAAGGGCTTACAGAGTTTGTTGTCCTGGACAAAAATACTGCTTACCCCACCTTCCCCACTTCTGTTCACACATCAAAAGCATGATCTCTGCTGAAGGAGGCGGTTCAGTTCACACTGGCAGACCTCACCTTTAGGAGAGAGATTATGCAACCAGCACCTGAAAGCAGAAGTGATGTAACATTCTTTTGCTTCTGCTGTGTGATGAGACACCTAGCTAACAGGTGGGAAGCTTCACTTTCGTCATTCACTGCATGCGCTAATAAGATGGACTCAAGTCAGAGCTTACTGAGCTTCAAAGAGAGTAAAATTGTTGGTGCCCGCTTAGCTGGTGCCTCTGTGATACAAGTTGGCAATTTGTTTGTGGTGTCACGAGGTACAGTATCAAAGGTTATGACGGCATATATAGTTTCCGGGAAAACGTGTTCTGAAAAGCATAAGTGCGGTCAACTGACCGAAAAAGAGAAAAAGGACACCGTGGAGGATTGTGACCTGGAATATGAAAACAACTGCTGCAATGGTGACTGCAGAGCTCAATCTTAGTCTTCACAGGACTGTGACCTATTATAATAGGTCTAATATATATATCTGGACTTGGATATCTTTCTATACACATTTACCGAACAACTGAACATTTTTACATTTTTGTTCTGCATATGTTGCCTTGACAACCCCGAGCAAACACCCAGAGCAGTCAGAATACAGCTGATCTCATGTAATGGCTCAGATTTCACACAGCCAGACATTAAACTCCGGGGAAAAAAATAATTTTTGTTCTTTTTTTTGGGGGGGGGGGGGGGGTGGAAGCACAATTAAAACAAGCTGTAACCACTTGACCTCCAAAAGATTTATAACTCTTCCCGACCAAACCTTTTTTTGCTATATGGCACTGCGTTACTTTAACTGACAATTGCATGGTCATGTCATGAAATTTATGTCATTTCCCCCCCCACAAATAGAGCTCTCTTTTGGTGGTATTTGATCACCACTGCGTTTTTTGCACTATCAACAAAAAAAAGACCGACGATTTTGAAAAAAAAAAAAAAAAAAAAAAAAAAAAAAACCCCAAAACAATATTTGTTCTCTGCTATAAAACATCAAATAAAAAAAATGTAAAAAAAAAAAAAAAAAAATATCTAATTTTTTTTTCATAAATTTAGGCCAATTTGTATTCTGCTACATATTTTTGGTACAAAACATTTCCATACCAGAAATACCAGATAAGGGCAGGGATTTAGAACTAATCTGTACCTTTGGGGAATCACTGCAGGGTGAACTGTGCTTCCTACCTGATAGAGGGATCTGTGAGTCCACACCGTTGCCCCCCAATCCCACTGCTCTGCCTATGTGAAGCCATGGCTTGCTGAGGATCTGTAGGCCTCAAACCCCAAAAGAGAGAAACCACCCAGCTAAGTGGGGTTCAGGCACAAGCCACAATGCCTAAGTAGCAGTCACTCCCTGTGAACCAGTCTCCCCAATACTTGCTGCCCCCTGTGCTAAAGCTGTTGCGCTGTGTGATCAGACAGAGTAGCTAACCCACTGGCCTTGCTGAGTTGCAGAAGCCTGGAAATGTGTTGATGTGTGAAGGGATGAAAAAAAAAATGCTCAATGATGTCATCTTGCACAGATAGCCAGTCCACCCCTTTTGAAAGTCTCTACTGCAGAGTGGTGCTCCAGTCAAAACTTAACAGCCTCGCAAACCAGAGCACAAAGGGACATTATAGAGGGATACTGCCACCTCTGCCACTTAGCCCAGAGGACAATCGTTCAAAATGCAAACTTCACCCATCATGGCAGGCACCTCCCTTCCCAGAGGGATCACTGCCCTAGACCTGTAGAGAATTCTGCCAAGGTAATTTGGTACAGGGTCATCCTGAAGATCACTGCCTGCAGGATCCAGCAGCATTCCAGGCTGTCTCTGTACTGGCACACGGGTTCCTGATACAGTCCTTTTTGGCCAACTGGCCATAGCTACCAATCCAGATGAAGCTCTCCCCTACCCCATAAGGGATGTGAGCAATAGGTCACAAAGCATAAGGGAACTAAAGCCCATGAAAGAAAATCTTCAAGGAGACAACAGTAGGCATGTGTATCACTAGTTAAAGCCGAGGCCTAGCAAAAAACTGTGACGGCTTTTGCCTGGGCAGGGATTCCTGCTTTATTTTGGTCAGTGTTTCAATTCACATGAAGGTAGCAGCACAACCCTAGCAGTCATGAATATGAAGTCCTTTCTATCCTGTAATATTCAATTAAGAAATGACAGTTTAATTTTTACTGAATATTACACACATCGTTCTTCTTCCTGTGCTGCAACTTAAAACAGTCCCAGCGACTCCATTCCAGGTACTTTAGTTAAAAGAATACAAAGCTTTTTGCAAATCAACAAGGTGAGAAGAAAAAGAAGAATGAACAAACAATCCTTCACTGTACTAATCGCCAGAACGGTCAGTTGCACATCCAGAAGAGAAGCAATACATGTAGTATTCACCATGAATAAAACTCATTTTTTTCAGTAAGCAGCAGCCAGACATATGATCATTAGAGGTAGCTTATATTTTTTTTTAGAAACCGCACAATTTAAATTTTTTCTAGAGTTCCATTCTAATAAGCTGATTGCCATAACCAGCTGATCAGCCTCACTGTGGGAATTAATGGAAATAATGTGATATTTCAATGGAGGGCCCTTTGAATGTTAAGTGATCTGCTCAGTGTTTATGCTTTTTTTTTTAATGGTCATTCGATTAAAATGTGCTATATATGAGATGCATAGTACACATACTATAGACAAACCAAAAGAGGGATCAAGCAGGAGAGGTGCACTCACCTCTAGCTTTTTCTCCAGAGACTCTATCCTGTCCTTCTTGCTTGCCAGGTTGGCTCGGGTGTAACGCCCTTGTCCAGGCAGATACAGCACCTGGCTATAACATTCCTCCCACACCTGATTGAAGGCATCCAGAGAGAGGTCTCCATGACCCATACCTTGCTTGACTACCTCCATCTCTTGCTTTAGCAGATCCTCTGCCTGAAATGAAAGGATCAACAAGGGTCAAGAAGAAGCTGTGCAGTCCACCCACTTCACTTATTAAAATGAACCATAGGAGCAGAGTCTGTTGCAGGCAAAGGTAGTGGACATCTCCTTTAAAAGTATAATTTTCATGCAAACTATTATAACAGTGTTCATCATAAAACGACCCTGCTGCTATACTACATTATAGCACCTGTAAAAGAAAAAGAGTACATACTTACATTGCCTGGTGCCCATGCTGCTGACTGTCACTCTGATCCTGAGAAATGTTTAAGTAAAGGCCGTAGGAAAACTTCCAGAAGTGTAAATTATTTTCGGTGCCCTGCAGCCCACACTGGTTTCTTCTGCTGACCTCCAGATCTATTCTTTAATAGGAGAAACCAATCAGAACTGTGGCAGACCAAGATGACTGACACTTCTGATAGTGTAGGTTCTCCTGCAGACTCACATGACAATATTCCAAAGAGCAGGATACAGCAGCAACAAGAATGGGGATTATGTACACTGTTCTCTTACAGGAAATGGCTTATAAAAAAAAAAAAAATGGTATAGCCAGAGGGCCACTTTAATTTCTGACATGACTTGCTTATTTTATGTTTGTTCATACGTCTTTATTTTATAAAAGATAGAGCTTTGTACATAAGCCATTACATTTAATGTTGCCTCATTTTTTGATTCATATCTAGCAAGGATATACACATTGTACATACATACATAAATTACAAGACAATACACTTCTTGTGAACTTTGTGGATAAACTGCTCTGCAGTATCTGCAGCTACAGAGGTCAGAGGGGGGCTTTATTAAAAAGCTAGTTTACTGCTTAAGAATATTTAAAGAGAGCAGGTCATCAATTTAAAACAATGTACCGTATATACTCGAGTATAAGCCGACCCGAATATAAGCCGAGGTACCTAATTTTACCACAAAAACTGGGAAAAACTATTGACTCGAGTATAAGCCGAGGGTGGGAAATGAGGCACCTACTAGTCAATGTAAAAAATAAAGACTGTAAATAGTATCATTTGTCTATAAAATTGTTATAAGTAGGAATAGTGCCCATCATTGGTGTCAGTGGGAGGAATGTGCCCCAGTGGTGGGAGGAATAGTGCCCCATCATTAGTTGGGAGGAATAGTGCCCCATCATTGGTGTCAGTGGGAGGAATAGTGCCCCATCATTGGTGTCAGTGGGAGGAATAGTGCCCCATCATTGGTATCAGTGGGAGGAGGAATTGGTAGTGGGAGGAATAGTGCCCCATCATTAGTGTCAGTGGGGGGAATAGTGCCCCATCATTGGTATCACTGGGAGGAATAGTGCCCCATCGTTGGTGTCAGTGGGGGGAATAGTGCCCCATCATTGGTATCACTGGGAGGAATAGTGCCCCATCGTTGGTGTCAGTGGGAGGAATAGTGCCCCATCATTAGTATCAGTGACACCAATGATGCGGCACTATTCCTCCCAATGACACTTGCTGACCCCTGTTGCAGTATGGTGCTGCTGCAGCCAGCATATGTGGTTGCAGCAGCACCTCTGCACTGCACACTTACCGGCTTTTCCCTCACTCGACTCGATTTTCGCTCGGCTCCTCCTCTCGGCGCCGCCTGTGTACCTTTCCTGAGCTACAGTTCTGGCGGCCAATCACCGGTGAGGAGGCGGAGCCGAGCGGCAGGAGTGAGGGAGTGGCCGGAGTGACGGAAGGAGCAGCGCTTCCTGGATGGATCATCGTGGGAGCCAGGTAAGAGACAGCAGCCCTCTGCCCACCCCTGTACGTGCCCCCCTTGACGGAGCCTCGCGCCAGGTAAGAGACATCTGTAGACGTTGACTCGAGTATAAGCCGAGGGGGCTGTTTTTTCAGCACAAAAAATGTGCTGAAAAACTCGGCTTATACTTGAGTATATACGGTAGGTAAAATCACAGAAAAATCAAATATTGTAAATGCTTACTTGCAGTGTTTTCCCTTTCCATAAAGGATTTTTTGTGACTTTGCAATTGCTAGAAAATGTGACTACTTCAGGGAAAGACAATTCTCTAGCACAGCCCTCCCCTTCCTTCCACATTAAAGCCCTTTGCGCCGGTGGGAGTGTCTAAATACTGTCTGTGCTGGTCCAGCCCCCGTCCCCATGTAACCTTTTATGTAGCTGTGGGAGGAGGCGTGAAGTGATATACTATAGACTTAGAGGGGTTTATTTACTAAAGCTGGAGAGTCCAAAATCAGACTCCCTTCTGCATAGAAACCAATCAGCTTCCAGGTTTCATTGGCAAAGCTTCATTGAACAAGCTGAGGTTAGAAGCTGATTGGTTTCTATGCAGAAGGGAGTCTGATTTTGGACTCTCCAGCTTTAGTAAATAAACCCCAGAGTGTCACTTGAATGACAGCTCTGAGTCTACTGGGGTAGCTGATATCATATCCAATATGACAGTGCCCATCAGCAGTCTCAGGGCTTTTGGAGGTCTGCACAAGGGAAGCTTTTCAAAGCAAAAACATGATTAAACATATTAAATGCACATGTAATCTTATGGGAAGGTTTTTTGTTTAAAAGAATGGTCTGGTGACAGGGTCTATTTAAATGTCTGTTCCACTTAAGAACATTTTCAATACCTTGCTGAATTCAAACCACAAACGATATCCAGTAGTTCTTAAAGCAATGGGGGGGGACCCCAATGAAACCAGATAGGTATACCAGATCAGTTAATAAATATTATAGTTCAGTTCACTTCAGGAATTTAAACAACACAGAGGTTTAATGACCAGTTTCCAATACATAAAATGGTATGCAAAGCAATATGATGGACACTTTACAACTCTAACCTGTAGTTTTTCAAGTAAAAGGGTTGATTTATTCAGTATCCCATTATCACCTTTATCTTCACAAATACTAAACTGCAGTTCTACATTTAGTTGTTTGATTGTTTTTCTAGTTCCTATCTTAATATTTTGTTTCTTCCTTATTGTGCTTCCTTTATATTCCCCTCTTGCTGGATATGACATCCTAACTGCAGGGGAATGTACACTTGTGTCTCCTGCTCTACTACAGACACTATTCTATACCCGGCTACTATAGACACTATTCTATACCCGGCTCTACTATAGACACTATTCTATACCCGGCTCTACTATAGACACTATAGACTATAGACACTATTCTATACCCGGCTCTACTATAGACACTATTCTATACCCGGCTCTACTATAGACACTATTCTATACCCGGCTCTACTATAGACACTATTCTATACCCGGCTCTACTATAGACACTATTCTATACCCGGCTCTACTATAGACACTATTCTATACCCGGCTCTACTATAGACACTATTCCACACTCGGCTCTACTACAGACACTATTCCACTCCCAGCTCTACTACAGACACTATTCCATTCCCAGCTCTACTATAGACACTATTCTATACCCGGCTCTACTATAGACACTATTCTATACCCGGCTCTACTATAGACACTATTCCATACCCGCCTCTACTATAGACACTATTCCATTCCCAGCTCTACTATAGACACTATTCCATACTCGGCTCTACTATAGACACTAATCCATACTCGGCTCTACTACAGACACTATTCCATACCCGGCTCTACTATAGACACTATTCTATACCCGGCTCTACTATAGACACTATTCCATACCCGGCTCTACTATAGACACTATTCTATACCCGGCTCTACTATAGACACTATTTCATATCCTGCTCTACTATAGACACTATTTCATATCCTGCTCTACTATAGACACTATTCCACACCCGGCTCTACTATAGACACTATTCCATATCCAGCTCTACTATAGACACTATTCCATATCCAGCTCTGCTATAGACACTATTCCATATCCTGCTCTACTATAGACACTATTCTATACCCGGCTCTACTATAGACACTATTCTATACCCGGCTCTACTATAGACACTATTTCTATACCCGGCTCTACTATAGACACTATTCTATACCCGGCTCTACTATAGACACTATTCTATACCCGGCTCTACTATAGACACTATTCTATACCTGGCTCTACTATAGACACTATTCTATACCCGGCTCTACTATAGACACTATTCTATACCCGGCTCTACTATAGACACTATTCTATACCCGGCTCTACTATAGACACTATTTCATATCCTGCTCTACTATAGACACTATTCCATATCCAGCTCTGCTATAGACACTATTCTATACCCTACTCTGCTATAGACACTAATGTAGGGAAAAAAATCACAGCAACTTTAATTAAATAAAATACACTATAGTTCCCCTTTTAATACTATAGGGCCTATAGGGTGCTTACAGTACCATTTATTTTTTAAATTGAAAATGGTGCAAGTAATATTTTAGCTCGAAAAGAGTTTGGTGCTTCATTTGCAAAATTCTGTCAAGGAAAAGGCATTGGAGCCAGCTGCACTGGACTGGTTCATTATTGCTGGTATTCTTAGTTAATGCAATATACACTGAAGGAAAAAAGTATTTGCTCCCCTGCTGGTTTTGAATGTTTGCCCACTCACAAAGAAATGATAAGTCTAAAAATCAAATGTTAGGTGTATTGTAACACAGAGATAGAATAGCAACAAATAATTCAAAAGAAATGCATGTCTAACAAATGATGCACTGATTTGCATGTTCATGAGGGAAATAAGTATTTGATCCCCTATCATTCAGCTCATTCAGCAGTCTCTTAAAGGGAGTGCTGCTAATCTCATTTTGTTACCTGTATAAAAGACACCTGTCCACAGGAGCAATCAAACAGATTCCAAACTCTCCACCATGGCAAAGACCAAAGAGCTGTCCAAGGATGTCAGGGACAAGATTGTAGACCTACACAAGGCTGGACTGGGCTACCAAACTATCGCCAAGCAGCTTGGTGAGAAGGTGACAACAGTTGGTGCAATCACTCACAAATGGAAGAAACACAAAACAACTGTCAGTCTCCCTAGGTCTGGTGCACCATGCAAGAGCGTCAATGATCATGAGAACGGTGAGGAATCATCCCAGAACTACAAGTGAGGATCTTGCCAATGATCTCCAGGCAGCTGGGACCACAGTCACCAAGAAAACAATTGGTAACACACCACGCCGACAAGGATTGAAATCTTGCAGTGCCTGCAAGGTCCCTCTGCTCAAGAAAGCACATGTCCAGGCCCATCTGAAGTTTGCCACTGAACATCTGAATGATGCAGAGGAGGACTGGTTGAAAGTATTGTGGTCAGATGAGACCAAATTCGAGCTCTTTGGCATCAACTCAACTCGCAATGTTTGGAGGAGGAGGAGGAGGAATGCTGCCTATGACTCCAAGAACACCATCCCAACTGTCAAACACGGTGGTGGAAACATTCTGCTTTGGGGGTGTCTTTCTGCTAAGGGGAGAGGGCAACTGCACCGCATCAAAGGGACGATGGATGGGGCAATGTACAGGCAAATCTTGGGTGAGAACATTCTTCCCTCAGCTAGGGCATTGAAAATGGGTCGTAGATGGGTGTTCCAGCATGACAATGACCCAAAACACACGTCCAAGGCAACAAAGGAGCGGCTCAAGAAGAAGCACATTAAGGTCTTGGAGTGGCCTAGCCAGTCTCCAGACCTTAATCCGATTTTAAATCTGTGGAGGGAGCTGAATGTTCAAGTTGCCAAACGTCAACCACCAAACTTTAATGACTTGGAGAGGATCTGCCAAGAGGAGTGGGCCAAAATCCCTCCTGAGATGTGTGCAAAACTGGTGGCCAACTACAGAAAACGTCTGACCTCTGTGATTGCCAACAAGGGATTTGCCACCAAGTACTAAGTCATGTTTTGTGAAGGGGATCAAATACTTACTTCTCTCATGAACATGCAAATCAGTGCATCATTTGTTAGACATGCATTTCTTTTGAATTTTTTTGTTGCTATTCTGTCTCTCAGTGTTACAATACACCTACCATTTGATTTTTAGACTGATCATTTCTTTGTGAGTGGGCAAACATTTAAAATCAGCAGGGGATCAAATACTTATTTCCTTCACTATATCAAGTATTAGTCACACAACAGGTGGACGTGTTTTGTAATGTTAATGACCATTTGTAACTTACTTCACTTCCTAGAGTACCAAAATTAGGGTGTAATAATGTGTGTATATAAATTCTGGGATATCTTACTGACCCGCTAGCAACTGAAGAAGTGACTTGGTAATTTAAAAAACATCTTCAACATTGCAGAACAAGCCCAGATTAGTTACTACTGGATATACCATGACCTAACATCTGAGCAATAGATAGATACAAAATTCCACAACACTTCCCGCCCTGCTGTAATAAATTCAATAGTTAGCAGAAGCCCTAAAATAGTTTCTTTCATGAAAGAAACCACAGCTCTAGGACACATGACCAAATTATATTTAAAAATGTTATTGGTGCTGTCAGTTTATATTGGCTGACTAGCCTCCTTCCAGTAGACAATACGTGAACAAGTCCTGGGCATGTGGCACCCAACAGATAAAGGAAAACTTGGACAGTGAAGGAAAACTTTCAGTCGTATGATCTGTTACTTACGTATTTTTGCTCTTCTTGAGTTAGTTTTTCATATGGGCTCTGTTCCAAGTAGGTCACATGCTCAGCATTGGTGGTAACAGAGCTGGGCATCTTCCCTTTCCTGTTTGCTGCATTGTCACCGTACGGATTGTGGAGAGAGTCATAATGAAGCATTGTGATTATTTCCTTTTTGATCATCTCTTCAGCTTTCTGCAGATCCGTCAGTGGTGGCTCTACATTAAAAGGTCTCAGTATAGTTTCATTTACCTAGGATACAGAATAAACTGGATGGGAATTCCAAACTTTCAGCAGATAATGCCCAAATAAAACCTCCAAAGACATATAGGCCTAAGCACAGGTTTACAGCCCAGAATTTAGAGTAAAACTGGTATTTTGGGTAATCCCCTTCCCGTTGGCCATAGGCATATATGCAGCCTGACGAAAGTTGGTCTTTTTCAATGGGCCACATATATGCGCATCTCCTTTTGTGCTGGGACCACTCCACATGGTGCACTCCCAGCACAGAGACCGGGATCTCACCGAGAGCCCCGTGTCTCGTACTAAAAATGAGGACCCGGGACTTCTGGTTCTGGGTCACCTGATACTATGAGAACCTCTGACTGGCTATCACAGTAACAGTTACTGTGAGCCTGCCCTTGTGTTTATTTCCTCTTCTGAATGAAGAGAAAGATGCATTGTATCTTTCTATTCTTGCAGGAGAGGAAGATACACACAAAAGTGTGTAAAAAAAATAAAAATAAAATAGAATAAAACATTTAACAAAGAATTAAAAAAAAGAGAAAAATAACAAGATCAAGGTTTGCCAGGGTTAGTGTTAGGGTCCAGGTCAGGGTCAAAGGTCACATTAGCATATTTTAGGTAGAATAAAAAAACAAAACAAAAAAACAGCACATTTTTAAAATGTGTCATTAGCGTTACTGTGCTTTTGGCAGGATAAAAAAGAAACAAACAAAAAAAAAAGCGCACCATCGATTCTGGGCCCTACTATGTGTACAAACAACCACTATATACACATGTGGTATCGTTGTGATCGTCAGGAGCAGAATTTATTTATGGTTGTTCTTTGGTGGTAAATTAGAGTAATAGCAAGAAATATGCAGCTAAATTAAAAAAAAAATATTTTTACTATTTTGGGCCAGTCTTCCTTAACAAAAGAAAAAACAAACACAAGAGATATTTTACCATTTACCATCAAAGTAAGCCCAATTTGTCCTGAAAAAAACAAGGTATAACATATATATATATATATATATATATATATATATATATATATATATATATATATATAATAATTGTGCTTAGGCATATTAACATTTGTTTTACCCTCCGGCACTAAGGGGTTAAACAAACCCAAAAGGATTTGCTGGAAAATTTAGGATTTAGGATTTGCAAGTCCTAAAAGATTAAAAAAAAAGAAAAAAAAAAGTGGGTAATTAATTCTGACTCTTCCTACGGTCTATGGAAATGCATACTCAATCGTCTAAAGAGGTGTCATATGGATCTTCATTTAGACTGAATGGTTTCTGAATTCTGAAAAAACTGCCTCTGCATAACCAGAATAGTCCATTTTTCACACATCAAGTTTCCTTTAATTTTTATAAGTTTTTTATTCCTCAATTTTTAGAACTCCTTTTGGTGAGTGCAACAAGAAAAAGTACTGGTATTGCTCACCTCTGATGGTCTGGGCAAATCCCTCTGTACTGCTCGGTGCCGTTGTTTTAACTCTTTTGCCCGCTGTGCATCTCTAATTGCCTAAGAAACAATCAATCACATTATTCAGAGACTATCTTTTTGAAAAATATATTCTCTAATATGAAAAAAGCACATCTTAAAGTTAAAAAAAAAAAAATCAATGATTCATGCAAAATATTTTAGAAAACTTCAGTATACACATATTTATGGAGTTGTAACAACTCAAGGAAAGGCGGTATTAGGGGTGGTAGAGGTCTACCTTGCACAAACAGCATTAACCATAAGGGTAGAGAATTTATGTTACACTCCTGTTGACAATGTTCACAGAAAAGGTGCTCAACATGTGGAAATAAAAGAAAAGGTAAAATATTAAACATGATTCAAAGGAAACGCTAAAAAGAACTCAAAATACACCATACTTTCCCTTTAAAGCGCATGTCCAGTCAAAGCTTTTTAAGTTGTGGATAGAGCGGGGAAAGGTCTCTCCATTTACCCTCACATCCTGTGCTACTTACAAGGTTTCGTCACACAGAGAGGAGATTAAACCTCCAATGGAAACAAATAAAAATGCTTATTGGTAGGGCAGGGGAAGGCTAAAGCCTCTGTTAGGTATTTATTGCTGCACCTTGCAGATTTTTCCCTCACTTCCTGTCTGATAAATCATTGCCAGAACAGGAAGTGAAGGTAAATCTCTTTCAGAGTCCCAGATAGCAGTAAAACTAGACAGGTTTTTTTTTAATTTTTTTTTTTTTTTTTAAACCTTGCTTGAGGTGATTGCAGTCACGTTAGTGCACTTTTGACAGAAACAATCCAGTGCCGTTTTTTTTTTAAATGCAGTAACATATAATTTTTGATGACAAGTTTTCATGTTGTACACCCGTCTTTAAGGTCTGAGCAGTACTAACACATTCTGCTAAAACTTTTTGTATTATGGACGGTAGTCAATTTTTTTTTTTTTTTTTTCTTTTAAGTTTTGATTTGAGAAACACCAAGAGGCATCTAATGCAATCTATCCATACACAATGCTAAGCTATTGCCTCATAATTAGCAGCAGGGTTATCCGCCTATGGAAACGCTCCTTCAGTTGGCCTCACTATCAGGCAGGCAGTCAAATAGCCAATTGAAGTAGCTCCCACGGCAGTCTGACAATGCTGCTGCTAATTGCAAGGCAGTGACTTAGCGTTGTCACCTTGAAACAGAAGTGCTACTTTTAGCAGGATGTCATGGTACAGAAGATTCACCAAAAAAAGTTTAAAAGGATAAGTTCACCTTTTTAGGCAAAAACAATAAATGCACATTTTTTTTGCGGTAAAAATAATGTGCATTTATTATTTTTGTCTACAGTTTTCAAGCAGGTCCCCTGCAGACCTGTCAGAATATTTGCTTGCCATACGGATGCACAAACAAGCAGATATTCTGACAGGAAGCTTCAATGAACTACCACGGCACTCCACAGCACTGTGGTAGATCATTGAAAACTACAAGCCGACAGTCGCTTAGGCTGTCGGGACTTGCAGTTCATTCATTCATGTAAGTTCGTGAATGAATGATCTGGCCGTGTGGGCGGAGCCACGCACGACCGCACGCTTTTCAAATTTGACATATGGTACGGGGAGTCTTCTCCCATTACTATCTGTCAGAGGGAGGGGGAGGCTGCAGGGGGCAGCAGCTGCAGCTATGTTACATGTTCCACCCTAAAAATGGGTGGAACATGTAACATGTTCCCAAACTTAAACCTTTAAGAAAAATGTATACAGGGAGACATGATGTCAAAAAAGATACTGAAAAACAGATTTAGGCTTTACATATACCGAGATTTTAAAATGAGTACAAAAAATTTTAGAGATGGTCCTTTGTGGTGAGACAACATTCAATGCCTTTCTTCTAGGCTATACACAGAATGATCCCCACCTGTTTGCGAGACTCTACATCTGCTGCATCTTCTACAAATGTCTCTTCATTGTCGCGCTCTTCTAGTTCCTTCTCAGCATTTTCTGGCAGGACAATCTCAAAGTCATTTTTTGGGGTTGGCAGAGACATTAAACCCAGGCGTAGATGTTCTCGCGATTCTCTTTCCTGTGGACATATAATGAGATGCATTATAGATCTAGCTGGCAAACATTCGATTTACTGAACAGCAAAACAGGTTACAGTGAAGGCCATCAGCTTAGGACCTAAACCAGTGTTTCTCAGTTCTAGAAAAGTATCTACTCCTTTATAAAATCCACTTTTTGCCAAGTACCCCCCTTGACTTGTACATTACTAGCATCTTAAATCTGTATAGTTTTCCAAATAATACCTTATGTATTTAAATATCTAAAAGTATTTGTCAAGATCTGATTTATATTATTTCCTGCTAAAACTCTACCCTAGATTCATTTTCTTTTTTTTATTTATTGGGAAGGGACTGACAAGTCTCCAAGTTGATCCTGTAACTCTGTTTTCTGTTGCTTATTACAGTTTTTTTTCTTTTAGTAGTAAATCATTAAGTACCTAAATCTCACAACCGACAACCCAAAAAATAAAACAGTCTGTGTTTTCACCACTGGTAGATAAAGGAAAATCAATAAAGTGCCCAACAAAAATGTAATGATGTACACAAAGTTCAAAGAAACGTTTGCTTCCAGTCTTTGCTCTCTTTCAGAGCTAGAACCTCCTATAGAAACAACACTGGTGTGTCGTTACCTGGCTCTTTCCATTGCAGCAACCTCCCATCTGGCCACTACATCACTAACAAGTTACTCAGCAGTAGGGACACAGTGATCTAGCGGTGGTGGAACACACACATTGGGACACAGACATCCATAGATACTGAAGATTCTAGTGGTGGATCTCACTATTCAAGAGAGCAAAGACTGGAATCAACTTGCACGCTAACAATTATGTGTATAGTTTACAATGCTGTGCTTTTATTTATTTATTTTTACAGGAATGACAGTGTCTCATTAATAGTCCATATTGAATGCTAGAAGTGGAGTCATGATGCCAGAATCTGCAGGGTCTGAACAGAGGCTTGATCCTGGGTATATAGCACATCACCTCTAAATATTTCAACTATGTATTTGGCTATTTGGTTAGATTTCAGCTTTAATGTAGAACTATAGGCAAAACTTTTTTTTTCATTTTGGAGAGAGTAAGGGAGGGTTATAACCCGTCAGTTCTTTGCTATCTGTGTCGCATTGGGGAGATTTACTTTCACTTCCTGTCCCATAGCCAAAACAGGAAGAAAATTTCTGCAAATTAAGGTAACTCCTTAGGGACCCCCAGAACTGGTGTCCCTATAGGAAAATTTCCCTTCTACTACTTTTCTGGGTACAGCCCAAAATTTAGGGGTTCTTTTATTTTCACTTTTGATGAGAACGGTAAACGGGACCAATCGAGAGGGAGAATCTTCCTAGTGGGGGCACACACTCTACTCTGTCCAAAACTAAAAAAACTTTTGCCTGTAGTTATACTTTAACCTCTTCCCCACTGCCATATAGTAGAATTACTGCTACAGGGCAGGAGGACTACGCAAAATCACGTATACACATACACATACATATATATATATATATATACACACATACATACACACACACACACACACACACACACACACACACACATATACACACACACATATATATATATATATATATATACACACACACGTGATTTTGCGTAGTCCTGCTGCCCTGTAGCAGTAATTCTACTATATGGCAGTGGGGAAGAGGTTATAAAGTATAACTACAGGCAAAAAAATTTTTAGTTTTGGACAGAGTAGTATAACTACAGGCAAAACTGATTTTGCATATATATAATTCTATATATATATATATATATATACACACACACAAAAATTTTTACACACAGAGTACACACACAAAACACATACATATACACACACATATATATATATAATATATACACACACACACATACATACACACACTTGATTTGCATTTCCGAGTAGGGGGTGCGAGCGCCGCCCTACACGCGCCGCCATTGGACTTAGCCCTCCCTAGGAAAGGGTGATTCTTTAATTGCGGCCTCGGCTGTCAATCACTGGGTCCTGGCTGGAGATTCTCTGCCGGCACCCGGTGGTCACCGAGTTGCACTGACAGAGGAGAGACCTGTGTGTAAACAACAGGTCTCTCTCCTCCCAGCAAGAACATGCTGCTGTGTATGTCTCTGCACAGCAGAGACATACACAGCAGCATGTTTCCCTAGTAAAACACACACAACACAATGTAAAAAAGCACACAGTTAACTCTTTGATTGCCCCAGATGTTAACCCCTTCCTTCCCAGTGTCATTAGTACAGGGTCAGTGCTTTTTATATAGCGCTGATCACTGTATTAGTGTCATTGGGATGTCAGTGGCAGTTAGTTCCCCCAGTGTCAGAATGCCCACCGCAGTCGCTGATCGCCACCATTACTAGTATAAAAAAAACTAAAACTAAAAATCCCAGTATATATACCGCCATTTGTAGACGCTATAGCTTTCACGAAATCCAATTAATTTACACGTATTGGGATTTTTTTTTTTTTTTTTACCAAAGACACGTCGCAGAATACATTTTGGCCTAAATTTATTACGAAATTTGAATTTTTAAATTCTTTTTACTGGATATGTTTTATAACAAAAAGTCAAAAATTGTTTTCTTTTTTCAAAATAGTCGGTCTTTTTTTTTTTATAGCGCAAATAAAAAAACCATACAGGTGATCAAATACCATCAAAATAAAGCTCTATTTGTGGGGAAAAAAAGGACAGACATTTCATTTAATGTACAGCGTTGCATGACCACGCAATTGTCAGTCAAAGTAATGCAGCGCTGTATTGCAAAAAAATGGCCTGGTCAGGAAGGGGGGGTTAATCCTCCGGAGGGCAAGTGATTAAAGATGCAAAAATAAAGTCCTCTGCAGTTAATCCTTTGATCCATCATTCAGAGGACCTTTGTACTTCAGGACCAATTTTTCATTTAAGGATATACTGCAAAGAGCCAAAGTACACTGCAGCAGTTATGCAGCAATGAACATCTGAAGAATAGCATAGGTCAGTGCATAGACAGTGGGGTTGATTTACTGAAACTGAAGAGTGCAAAATCTGGTGCGCGGTGCATGGTAGCCAATCAGCTTCTAACTTCAACTCATTCAATTAAGGTCTGACAAAAAAAAAAAAAAAAACCTGTAAGCCGATTGGTTTCTATCCAGAGCTGCACCAGATTATGCATGCTCTTCTTTTAGTAAATTACCTCCAATGTCTTCACAAAAAGTGTGCAAGGTCACTTTAGAAAGGAGCCAGCATGATGCAGAGATCAACCCTTGTGTTCGGTTTCTGGTCTCAATGCATGAAAGTTCCTGACCGCAGAGCTCTAGCTCTGACTCAGCAAACTGTGTGCTGGACCACACAGAGAACAAGTAAAAGTAGAAAGACTTTTCTACTCAGGATGAAAAAAAAGCCAAAAACTTTGCACACCTTTTGGTGAACTTGGAATGTGTTTAGGTAACTTAAACTGAAAGTTAAATTAGGTTTTAACTACAGTCTGGGGAAGAACTTTCCTAAGAATAGACCGCAAACTGTTCTACAGAAAGTCAAAACATAGTGAAACAACAAAAGACATAATACGTGATTTTACCAATTGCTTTATGTAAGCTGGGTCATTATAATCTACCGATCCGTCCTCTGGATTTATGTTCAGCTTGTCTCGCAGTGGTGTTCTACCTGGTGTGGCACCGATAACTGGCTTTGGAGTCATGCCACCACGAGGGGTTAAACCCTCAGAGGTCTGAGAGGGTGTTCTAGAAAAGGAGTACACGAATCATGAAGATGTCTAACAGAGATCAAAAAAAGACTGCAAAATAGTAAGTATAAATTTTAACACATAACCAGAGTGAATACTAGTCAGGATGTTGCTTTTTTTAAATATTAACGAATCAGGCAAAAACCAATGGGAACCTAGTGGACTGAGTTAGCTCATTGGCTTCTGATTAAGTCTTGAATACTTCAGCAGTGTGATTTCTCTATCCACCTGGGAATTTGAAAGCAAATGCCCACATTTGCATGTCCCATCTCCTATAGTTACATTGTTCAGAATATAAAATTAATACAATTTTAGCAAGGGAAATGGGAACCACTCTCAATGGTTACTGGAGATGTGTAGATCAAGAAACTCAGAATGTGTGAGAGATAAAAAACTATTTAGGGGTTTAACATCTGCCAAAAAAATAAAAAAAAAAACAAATCAGTCTTGGGTGGACTGACTCTTTAAAAGAGAAACTGCAACCAAAACAGTTTTTATCCTGAGCAAAATAAAATGAGAGTTTTTCAATCCAAGGGTCTTTGTGGTTGTCTGGAACACTGAGATCTGCTCCCACAAAAACATTGTATATGATTCAAAGTCCAACTACTACTACTACTATTATAGAGGGTTCACAAAAAGATATATAGAGCCAACAGTTTGAGTGGCATTTTACAACATAAAGCGAGACAAAAAAACAGCAAGAATACAATTCAATACAAGAGGGTTAAGAGGACCCTTATCATGGGAGCTTACAATCTAATAAGGAGGGGCTAGTGAAACAAAATATAAAACAACTAAGGGATTAACTAATGGGAGAAAAAAAAAAAAAGATTCAGTTATTCGCTGAAGGCAGGATAGGCTTCCCTGTAGAGGTGAGTTTTCAGGGATTACCTAAAAGTGTATAGAGTTGGAGAAAGCTGGACAGATTGGGGTAGGGAGTTTCAGAGGATGGGAGAGGCTCTAGAAAAGTCCTGGAGACAAGCATAGGAGGAGGAGACAAGGGAGCTTGAGAGCAGGTGGTCTTGGGAGGAGTGGAGATGACAGTTTGGGTGATATTTGGAGACACGATTGGTGATACAGCTCAGGGCAGAGTTACAAATGGCTTTGTATGTTAATATTTGGAATTTTATTTGTTGGGCAATTGGAAGCAGGAGGAGGGACTGGCATAGAGGGGTGGCAGACATTGATAGGTTGATATGGTAGGTGAGTCTGGCAGGAGCATTCATGTTAGACTGAAGAGGGGATAGCATGCGAAGACGTAGGTCTGTGACGAGGGAGTTACAATAGTCAAGGTGAGAGATAAAGGAGTGAATGCTTAGTGGTTTCAACGGTTAAAAATGGGTGTATTTTGGAGATGTTATGGAGATGAATTCAACAAGATTTGGACAGCGATTGGATTTGGGACTTGAAGGACAGGTCATTGCATGATTGATCTTGATGGAGAAGTCAGGAAAGGGGGCACAGGCAGGAGGGAATATTATGAGCTCACTTATAGAAAGATTGAGTTTGAGGAAGTGGTGTGATATCCATGTGATATGTCAGCTAATAATTTTAGTGATGCCAGAGGAGACTGAAGGAGTGAGGCGAGGGGGTAGAGAAATAGATTTGGTGTCATCAGCATAGAGATGGTACTGGCAGCATGGGAGTTTATCAAGTGACCAGGGGAGGACATGTAGATGGAGAAGAATGGGTCCGAGGACAGAACCTTGGGGACCCCTACAGAAAGAGTAAGTGGAGGTGAGGAGACAGAGTTATAGGTAACAATGACGGAGTGCTGTAATAGGTAGGAGGAGAACCAGGAAAGAACAGAGTATTGAAGGACAAGAGAGTGGAGTTTTTTTGAGGAGGGAAGGGATGGTCAACAGTATCAAAGGCAGCAGAAAGGTATAGTTGTATGAGTATGGAGAGGTGACCATTGGTTTTAGCAGTTAGTAAATCATTAGTGAGTTTTACTAGGGCAGTTTCAGTGCAGTGAGTGCAAACCAGACTGTAAGGGGTCAAAAAGGATGCTGTCAATGAGATAGGAGCTTAGACAGTTGTGGACTAAGCGTTCTTACAGTAGGTACATGTGAGCAAGGAAATGGGTTTTAAGTTGTTCAGACTGGTGGGGTCCAGTAATGTTAAGTATTGGGGTGCTCAGTGTATGTTTCAGTAGGGAGGGAGAAGTGCCAGTAGAGAGGGAGAGATTGAAGATGTGAGTGAGGCAGCATAGAAGAGGAGGGTGGCCATAGTAGTTGTGAGGGAACAGGGTCCAGCAGACAGGTGGTAAGGTGAGCTTCTGAGAAAAGTGTAGCAACCTCTTCAGTAGTAGCAAGGTCAAAAGAGGAAAGTATTGAGTGTGGTTTTATACAGATTATGTTAAGTAGGATAGATATCCGTGTAGTGGAGATCCCCCACAAATTGCATCAGACTTATTTTTTTAAGTGACTGGCAATCTCATGAGCATGGAGTTACTGGGTGGAGGTGATGGTGGTGGAGAAAGTAGAGAGTTAAAAGTAGAGAAGAGACGATGAGGGCAGAATGACAGAGTACTAATGGCAGTGAAAAATTAGGCTTGTTTGGCAGCATGGAGGTAACTACTAGGCTATGTTACACACCTACGCAGAAACCACTAGAGTATGCCCACTGTAACTTCTAGCGTTATATAAAGTAACAACCGCAGACCCTAAAAATTCTTTTCTCTTATTTGATTACTTTTGGTCTGTAAAAACACTATTGAAAGTGTACCATTCTGTGATAAGTGCAAAAAATACCTACTGACCTTGCCTAAATAATACCAATTGATCTAGCCTAAAATCTCGTGAGCTAATAACATTTTGAGTTCTCTGACTATGGTGACCTATCAGTTAGCATGGTTCCCATTAGTCCCTGGATTAGAGAACCCCTTCGCCTTGTAACTCTTAAAACACTCTCTGTTCTAGAGTGACCACTACTGTCAATTTTTCAAATGTACAGGCACTATATTAGGGAATTCTAGAACTGCAACACATCATATTGTAAGATTTTGTACTCACCATAAAATGCTTTCCTCAGGTAACATACTGAGCTTTAATATTAACATTTTAGAGCTTAAAAACATTATATTTTGAGAACGTTCAAAGCGTCAGAAACGAAAAATAAAATTTTCGTACTCACCCTTTCTTTCTCAGAAGACCATTGAGGGGCATCAAATCCAAATCGAGGGGAGGGACAGGCCACACCACAACACTAGCAAACAAGTCCAACAAGAGTAAACCCAAAAATAGGAAAAACAAGGGCACTAAATAGCTGCTTGCAGAACTTTTTGGCCAAAACTATCATCCACAGTGGCAGATACATCCACCCCACAAAACTTACAGAATATGTGAATAGAAGACCAGATCACAGCCTTGCAGCTAAGTCACAGAGATCTGAGAACTAAAAGTCCAAGAAGTACTCACTGCTTTCGGTGAAGTGGACATTACCAGAAGAAGGAGGCAACTCATATTCCTGCACAAATCCACTTTGGAAGAGTGGACCTGGAAGCAGAGAAACTCTGATTGAACAAAACAGGAATCGGTCTGCTTAAAAGAAGGTAAACCCTGATGGCCCTCACTAAATTCAGACAATAGAGAGAGGTATCCTTGAGGTGAACTGGAACTGGACACAACAAAGGAAACACAATATCCTCATTAAAGCAAAATGTAGAGATGACTTAGAGCAAAAAAGGAGGTCCTTGGCCTCAAAAAAACATTGTCATGTAAAATCAATGCTGATAACTCAGACTCTTCTATCCTAAGTGATGGCCACAAGAAAAGCTACCTTACAGGACAGCGTTAAGGAAGTGTCCTGAATAGGTTCAAAATAGGGCCACAAAATAGATTGGGGTGAAGATTAAAAAACGAGTGCAACATGTGCAATTGCTTGAATGAAATCAAGAATCAGTGAACTATTAGAAAGAGGACTTTAAAAAGGAGCATCCAGGGCAGACATGTGACCCTTGATGGTGCTAAGGGCTAAATGTTGTTCTACCCCCAAATGTATGACTCAAGAAAAATACATGTGAAAATCCCTAAAGCCTCATTTTAACATCCCCATTAATGTGAAAAACCCAGCTGCATCCCAACTCTTCAACCTAACCTCATTTGCCTTAACACAATGGACAAAGTCCTCCCAATGCATACCACAGAAAATATTATGGATTAATAATAAACCTGAGTTTTTATTAATCTAGCTTTAGTTGGTTACCCTAACCCAAATGTGAGCCAAGCATGGAAAAATCAAATCAGTAGCTTTTACTGAAGGAGTCCTGGTATGTTGTGGGAATACTTGTTATCCATGGATCCCCCAGGAACAGGAAGGATGGTGTTATTTATCCACCTTGGCACCAGTAATGGATGTTATGGGACACACAGTGATGCTTTACTGGCTAGTAGTCATACCCAATATCCTTTGAAACGTAGGCATGAGTGGAAATTGTTTAAAACAGAAGACCAAGCCTGGTCATGGTTCCCTACATGGACTGGGTGGGGGGTAGAATTGATGAGAAGGTTAAATAATTATTCACATATTATGGATCAGATTATAAATCAAACACAACTAGAAGTGAATCTAGAATCTTTTGAACTTGTTGAACATTGAAAGCTGAAAACAGATGCTCATGAATTAAATGAAAATAGAACAAATGGGTGCAGCATTGACCAGGCTGTGTGAGTGAGCTATGAGTGTTGTACATGGATACATAACATATCTGCTGAAATTCCAGATTACTATGAAGTCATTGAGAATCATAGAGCCCAGGTAAATGCTTTAGAAGCTTGAGCTCGATCCATAGCCGACGATGGCAGGAACCCTTTTAAAGGGTTGGGAAGTTTTGGAGATATTTTTGGATGGTTTAAGTAGGCATGCTGATTTTGTTATGTCTTTTACTAATATTTATGATTTATGCTGTTGCTAAATTTTGTATGTGTATTTTTGACAAGCTTTTAAAGAACCCGGATGCATATTGGAAACAACTGTGAAATCTGACGTGTTGTCACT